AAATAGCGCTATCTACTGCGAGGATCGTGCATCATACGTATCTAATACCGCAGTTCAAAATATATGAACTTCATATATTCATTGTATCTCATTTATCACTTTCACGGGTTTATTACGAATCAACTTAACGGCCTGCTCCCAGTTGGCTTGTTAGCTCAATTGGTAGAGCGCTGCACTAGTATCGCAGAGGTCAGTGGTTCGAGTCCCGTACAGGCCTGATTTTTTTCAGGTCTGATTTTCGCTATTGCACAAATAGCGCTATCTACTGCGAGGATCGTGCATCATACGTATCTAATACCGCAGTTCAAAATATATGAACTTCATATATTCATTGTATCTCATTTATCACTTTCACGGGTTTATTACGAATCAACTTAACGGCCTGCTCCCAGTTGGCTTGTTAGCTCAATTGGTAGAGCGCTGCACTAGTATCGCAGAGGTCAGTGGTTCGAGTCCCGTACAGGCCTGATTTTTTTCAGGTCTGATTTTCGCTATTGCATAAATAGCGCTATCTACTGCGAGGATCGTGCATCATACGTATCTAATACCGCAGTTCAAAATATATGAACTTCATATATTCATTGTATCTCATTTATCACTTTCACGGGTTTATTACGAATCAACTTAACGGCCTGCTCCCAGTTGGCTTGTTAGCTCAATTGGTAGAGCGCTGCACTAGTATCGCAGAGGTCAGTGGTTCGAGTCCCGTACAGGCCTGATTTTTTTCAGGTCTGATTTTCGCTATTGCACAAATAGCGCTATCTACTGCGAGGATCGTGCATCATACGTATCTAATACCGCAGTTCAAAATATATGAACTTCATATATTCATTGTATCTCATTTATCACTTTCACGGGTTTATTACGAATCAACTTAACGGCCTGCTCCCAGTTGGCTTGTTAGCTCAATTGGTAGAGCGCTGCACTAGTATCGCAGAGGTCAGTGGTTCGAGTCCCGTACAGGCCTGATTTTTTTCAGGTCTGATTTTCGCTATTGCACAAATAGCGCTATCTACTGCGAGGATCGTGCATCATACGTATCTAATACCGCAGTTCAAAATATATGAACTTCATATATTCATTGTATCTCATTTATCACTTTCACGGGTTTATTACGAATCAACTTAACGGCCTGCTCCCAGTTGGCTTGTTAGCTCAATTGGTAGAGCGCTGCACTAGTATCGCAGAGGTCAGTGGTTCGAGTCCCGTACAGGCCTGATTTTTTTCAGGTCTGATTTTCGCTATTGCACAAATAGCGCTATCTACTGCGAGGATCGTGCATCATACGTATCTAATACCGCAGTTCAAAATATATGAACTTCGTATATTCATTGCATCTCATCATTAGAGTAATACTCGACTTTAGCACAGAATCTGCTGGGGATGCTTTCCAATTGATAGGTAACATCACTTTTACTTGGTGGAGCATAAATGTTTTCCTTGCCATTTTGGGATTCAAACCCACGTGACTGAAAATCTAGAATACTAGACTAAGTCACAGACAAGGATTTTCCTGTTCCTTATCTGTGCGTAAGCTGGAAAAGAGACATTTTATTCAAGCAGGAAATGGAAGAGAATAACTCCGGCCGAGGGACTGGAGCTGCTTTGGGAGGGCATGATACAATTCCCCTGCACATTTTGTCAGGTATATCCTGAAGGTTCACTGCTACAAAGCAGTCCTCCTGTGTGAAGAAAGGCACTGTAAGAACAAAGTATCCTTCCCTAGGACACCACACACAATGACCCAGCAAGGTAGACCCTCCCTGTACTGTGCACTTTGCCTAATGTCTAGGTAGGATGAGGATGGGT